ATCTATCTATCTATCTATCTATCTATCTATCTATCTATCTATCTATCATCATCCATCCATATCTATCTATCTATCTCTGTCTATCTATCTATCTCTATCTATCTATCTCTGTCTATCTATATCTGTCTATCTATCTATCTATCTATCTATCTATCTATCTATCTATCTGTCATCTATCTACAATTTACTATTATCCTTCTCATCTTATCATATTACCTATTTCTCAGTCTATTCTATGACTATAACTTTTTTTGTTTGTATCTTATGTTGCTTGTTTTTATTTAGCATCCTATGACCGTCACTGAATATTGTATCTTATGAATTATGATTATTGTATTTTAGGATTATGATCATGATTTATCAGTTGTTTGTATGTACACCGAGAGCTTGTATATTGAAGTCCTTTGTGTCCAATCACACTTGGTCAATAAATTCTTTTCTTTTCTTTTCTTTTCTTTTCTTTTCTTTTCTTTTCTTTTCTTTTCTTTTCTTTTCTTTTCTTTTCTTCTCTTCTCTTCTCTTCTCTTCTCTTCTCTACTCTACTCTACTCTACTCTACTCTACTCTACTTTACTCCACTCCACTCCACTCCACTCCACTCCACTCCACTCTGTTCCATTCCATTCCGTTCCGTTCCGTTCCATTCCATTCCATTCCATTCCATTCGTGTGTGTGTGTGTGAATGGATATGAACTAAGTAAAATACACACACACACACACACACACACACACACACATCAGTGGATATGCACTAAGCAAATGACAAGTAGTCCTCATCTTACAACTGCAACTGAGCCCATTTTTCACACTTATGACTCTCGTGGCATCGCCACAGTCATGTGATCAACATTCAGATGCTTGGCAACTAACCCACATTTATGATGGTCGCAGTGTCCTGGGGTCCTATGATGACCTTTTGTGACCTTCTGACCAAGCACAGTCAATGGGGAAGCCAGATTCACTCCACAACCTCATTTTACTCATTTTATAACTGCAGTGATTCACTTAACAATATGGCAAGAAAGGTCATAAAATGGGGCAAAGCTCACTTAGCAACCATCTCGCTTAGCAGTAGAAATTTTGGGCTCAACTGTGGTTGCAAGTTGAGGGCCACCTCTACAAAACGTATTGGGATTTCTTGAACTCAAATGTAGCAGAGAACGGTTGCTTTAGCCTACTAGGAGATTATGAAGATCTAGGCCCGTCATGGCAAACCTATGGCACACGTGACACAGGTGGCACGCAGAGCCATTTGTGCCAGCACGCGAGCTGCAGGCAAACTTACCTCACTGCACATGCGCACGCCTCACAGTTGATTTTTGGCTGGTTTGAGGCTTTTTTCGGCCTCCCAGAGGCTTGAAAAAAGCCTCTGCAGTCTCTGCAGGATGAATAATAGACCCGTTTCATCACTTCCTGTAGTACAGGAAGTGGTGAAACGGGCTTATTATTTGACCAGCAAAGCCTGCAGAGGCTTTTTTCAAGCCTCTGGGAGGCCAAAAAAAGGCCTCAAACTGGCCGAAAATCAGCTGTGAGGAGCAGTGCAGGCAGCGGGAGGGTGGCAAGGGGGATTGCGCACACACGCACAGGGGGCATGGGGGGTACACATTACCTTCTGGGTGTTGGCATGTGAGCGTGCATACGCCAGCGCACACACAATTTTTGGCACAGGAGCCCCAGAAGGCTAGCCATCACTGATCAAGGCTTATCTTGCATATTGCTACGATCGTATCGTATGAAACGAAGGGTGATTTATGCCGGTCTTGTGATGTGTATATTCTCACTGGCAATAGCTCCCCGAAGTCTCAAGCTCAGAAATATTGATGGGTCTTGCCATTTGAAATGCTTTTAGCTGACATCCCAAGGGATATTCTGCCTTCCAGCCATCGTGCTTACGATGACTTACAGCACATTGGAAAGGCGGTGCACTATTTTATTATTTTTTTAAAGGGTGATTGGGATGCAAGTGCCGTACATCCACAGCCAAAAACACTGGAAGATTAACCCTGCAGTGAAGTCAGTTTGACCGGTCAGATTATCTTAAACCTCTAGGTTAGCTGAGGTACCGAAAACAGATGGCCAAAGAGGAACCAGCACAAAAAAAATTAAAAGTGCTAAAGAAAACTTTTTTGAAAATGCAAATAAGCCAGGAAGATGGCTGACATATAAATTGAAAAAAAAAGTGAAAGGAAAAAAAAAAACGGATTCACCAACTAGTAGATAATGAAGGGACCCTACCATTGAAACGACGATAAAAAGAAAATAATTCAAAAATACTATGGAAAACTATAAGATCAAGAGATAACTTCAGAGGATAAAATAAAACAGTATTTACAAAAAAACAGAATTACCGATAATACCATAGGTGCTTTTTTTTTTTTTTTCAAGAGACAACTGGGCTTTCTTTGTTTTTCCTTGAAGATGTTTCGCTTCTCCTCCCAAAAGCTTCTTCAGTTCAGAAGACTAGCAGAATGCATCTGCGAATACCGACTGGCGGTCATAAGGCATGATGGAAATTCTTTAATTTCACAACTTATAGACAGATTTCACCATCGTTTCAATTGGGAAATGTGACAATCAGTGGTGGTATTCAATTTTTTTTTACTACCGGTTCTGTGGGTATGGCTTGGTGAGTGTGGTGTGGCATGGTGGGCGTGACAAGGGAAAGATACTGTAAAATCTCCATTCCCTCCCCACCCCACTAACCTGATTTCCAGCCCCGTTCTCCGGTGTAGGACAACCAAAGAAGACCCAGCCAATCAGCTGGGATTCGGGAGGCGGAGAATAGATAGGGGCGGGGCCAGTTAGAGGTGGTATTTGACGGTTCTCTGAACTATTCAAAAATTTTGATACCGGTTATTATTATTAAAAGCAAGGAGAGACATTAGTAACTTCATTATTACTACTATTAGGCAAATATATATTGTTTATTTTTATTTTTAAAATAAATATTAAAGGATTATATTTGAAATAATTGAAATGAAATAAAAAGATGTTTAGATTGAGATTAATGAAAGAATTTAGAATTAAACTTTATTATTATTATTATTATTAGGCAAACACATATTGTTTATCTTTATATTTAA